GCGACGTTGGCGGACGTGTCCCCGACGGTGCACGATGCCTGGACGCACGCCGAGAGGTAGCTCTGGGCTGCGCCCTGCAAATCCCCGCGACAATAGCAGTTTTCTGGAGAGCCGAATACGCCGCTGGCCAGGGTACAAGGGGAGTTGGGGCATCCGAGCACCGAGCCCACGAGATCAGTCGTGCAGCCACCTTCTCGGGTGTAGCAAGACTGGACGCACAGTTGCTGCTGCGTGAAGGCTGGGAGGGTGAAGATCTGTTGCGCCGCCGTGGCCGTTTGCGCCGCGACGAGGTCGACAAGCAGAACGATCGCCCACTGAAGCTGTAAGAAGCGTAGAGCCATCGCAAAGAGCTTGTGCCGAGAATTCGACGCCGCTTGAGTAAACGATTAGGACATGGAAATGGAAGCCAGCGAGGGAGAAGTCCAGTCAACCAGCCAGCACGGTGGACGCGATCGATGCATTGATAATAACGGGGGAGCTCTCATGGAGTTCGAGAGGCTCTGCCCGAGCCGCAACAGCTTGGTGTTCGAGTCCAGGCCCCCCTCCCCCATGTTGCAGCATCAGGGGTGAGTAATGTTTTGGAAAGACGCTAGGATAGGATACTTGGTATTGGGGGTTTCTTTTGCCAGGCCAGAACACCTGCTCCCTCGTGGCTGGCGCCGCGTCTTCTGAACGCCCTGTCACGCACGTTATGGCAGGGGAGTACCAACCGATAGGGAGCAGAGTAAAGGGGTTTCACTAGACGATAGGGAATACGCCGTACCTCGTAGACCCTGGCGAACATGCTCTTTGGTAGTGTTTGCAGTCCAACATACATACGGAGTAGTCACACCGGTTTGAAGCTTCAACAGGGGTTCACTCAACATTGCATCTGTGCCGCAAACTTCAATGCGAAGACAGCGCCCTGTTGATCGCGTTAGCGAGATTACCGAGTACAACGACGAGTGAAGGGCCAAGGATCAAAGATGTTGTGTCAGCCACAAGGGACTTTCGATCCTGGTTGGTCTGCTGTGAATACCGCGGCGATATGTAGGTCTCGACCCCTGAATCGCTTGCCAGCGCGTGCTTTACTGTCGCTGCCGCTGTCCGGAAGTCATGCCCTCGACGGCGACCTTCATAAGTAATAATACACACGTGGCTATAGAGTAGAGCTACGCGGTGCTTCTAAGGTTGCTCAGCCCACTCGCGGCCCCGCCTCGGACGTGTGAATCTCCACGCATCGTCTGCCCTTTTCGAAACCCCATCGATCGACTTTCTACATATGCAGGCTGTGGAAGGGAGATCAGGTTATCAAACACTGAAAATTTCCGGGCATGATTGTCGACAAAGGCTCATCTCCCCATAGTGAAGAGTCATACAATTGATGGTCATTTGACCTTCTTGGTGGACCCTGTGGTCAGTTGTTGTTTGATCATTAATATTGCTACGGTCTCTCGAGGGCGGTCCGCACCCTCTGGACATTTTTCTGGAGGTGTTGTTGATACGAGCCAAACTAGTGGAAGACAGGTTCTCCAACAAAGGGATCGACCTAGGATAACTGGTCGTCTTCCTCCCTCGGGTTTTTTCGTGGCGTTTCCCGGCCCCTTGTTGCCTTCTTCGCGTTCCTCTTTCATGGCCTTCGAGGACCTGGACGCTCGGAGCAGCACTATGTTTCGCTTACCCAACCTCTGTCACTTTACATGGTAAGGCCAACCGGTGCCCGAACAGCCATTGCCTGCTCCCACAGCCACTTGAGATTCTCGGCGAACTCGTCGAGTTTGTCGATGGGGATGCCGACACCAACTTTAGGCGAGTCCAAAGGGTAAATCACTTGCCCGTGCTCATTTTTCACGCTTATGCCATCGTCCTGAAACTCAAGCATACGCCTGCTGAACTGCGATTTGCGCCGAAACAAACTGCGGTTGTTGGGAAAGATGATCTTTCGCACTGTCCCATCGATGCCTTCGCATTTAAACGTTGATTTGCCAGTCCAGGTAGCGAGGTCAAGCTTATCCAACGTATTAATAACGTAGACTTCTTCTTTTCGCTTTTTGATCTTCTTGGAACGCTCTCTGTTTTGTACCATATCCAGTGCAATAGCTTGTAGCATTTCACATCTTACATCGGTCGTCATCATGGCAATGTCGGCATTTCTCTCCACTGCCTTCTCGTGGAGGAGACCTTGAATGGCCTGAGGGAGATTGGTAGGTTCCTTTAATGCGTCAAGACAAACGGGAACATAGTACCCAGCTGGTATATTCGTGGCGTATGATTTCCACTCCTGCTTAGTGAAAATCTTCAAGGCATTTTGGAGGTCCTTGTTGTTCGTCACCCACTGTTTACTACTCCATTTAGCGCGTTGTTGACTCCCTGGTTCTCCGAATGTTTTGGGAAATCGGTCCAATTTGTCGAGGTATGCACGTTTCTCTGCAACGAGTTGCATTAGTGGCTGAGAACTCGGGTCAGCTGTCGATTCTGTTTCGGAAAAGGAGCGCTTCGCGTGTGCTCTAGCTTTGCTGCCCAATCGCTCGGCGAATGCTTTCTTAGCATTACTCAAAGCTTTTTCAAACCCCACAGCTTCAAGTCTCGCTTCTGCACATGCCATTATGTACCGACAGAGAGAGTATCGGTCTGCTGTCAGATTCGGCTCGGAAATAAGAACTGTCAGCGCGGTGTCTATATAGACCCAGACTTGAATCCAGCATTGGAAGTACAAGCGACGGAATGACGTTGACTGATCTGTACGAGCATCATATCCGGGATGATATTGTGGTAGTAAGATGGTCCAAGTTTTTTCCGCATCATCTCCGACACATTCCATGCGGGCAGTGCCGATTTTGTCCAGAAGATCCCTGAATGTGTCAGTACCTATTTCGACATCACCATGGGAAGACGTACCGAGTAGCCCGAGGGAGGCAGTTGGACAATGTTCGCTCACTAAGCGTAATTGTCAACAATGGCGCAACCGCGGCCAAGTGAGTATGCAAGATTTTCTGTGTTGTGATCGGAGACATTAGTAGAATCCAGAGAATTCCTCAAAGGACAGCATAGTGGTGCTGAATTACCTTGACTTCTGAATCAGGCTTGCGCGATGGTTGACCCGGCCAGTGGAATACGTTGGTGAAGGATACAAGACGTAACAGATCATCCAAGTCGTTTGATGTAGAAAAGCTTGATTCGCAAGCAAGGCATTCTTCAAGATATCCAATGATCGTGTCACGTGAAGCTGAGCTTCCATCGAAAAACCTCGTGTTCTCCCGAATGGCTTGCTCTGTTACGGCTTCCCCAATAATTGCAGCGATGCAGTGAGCATGGAAGGTTTCGCTAGCAGCTTGCTTGACATAGTGATTGTTGACATATTGAAGAGTTGCTTCTGTCAATTCGCCCTTCGGAAGTTTTCGGCGTATCTGATCGCAGATGATTACGGTAATTGCGGACAGTCGGGCCTTGATCTGTGAATCCATATTTTTTGAGACTGACTGCGAGACGGTGTGCATTACTGTTGTACCAATAGTGCTTAACATTGTTGTTTCACTGGTGCTTGGATTGAAAGATAGTCTGTAGCCTCCAGCCTGCGTGTTGAGTAATGACGAAGATCCAAATAGTGTGATCAGAAAGCGCTCGAATGAGTCTGCGGTCCTTCCATTGCTTCGGGCGAGAAGGCCCGAGCTGCATTTCTTGAAGAGCCAGCTGGTACCCGTGTCACATAGAATGAAAACACGGACGTCCTTGGCGCGATCCAAGTCAAGCGCCTCATAGTGTCGCTTGAATTCGTTACTCAGAATAGCTCGAGCCTTTGGACCTTTTGTTGATTTCGCGCATCGTTGAAAGGGTGTAAAAGAGGCTGTCTGCCCTACATACCGAATCCAGACTCGTTCATGCTGGTCCATCCCTCTAAGCTGGGAAGTCCAGCTTTCGAGTTGTGGGAAATTGAATAGATTTCGTTTGAGACCCTGGATCATGGTTTGAAGCTGTTGTTTGGTGATAGACCATGATCGATAGTAACAGACTGGTCCTTTCTGCAGACCATCTGAGTTGCGTGATCTCTTCATGCGGAATATTTGTGCCAATTCGTGGTCTGAGACTGTGATTGGCACCGACAGGAAGCGTCTGAATATGTCTCTCCGCAACTCATTGTCGTGTGGCTTAGGAAGGAATGCATTCATGGAGGACAGGGTCATAGGTCTTGTGTCAACACCACGGCTATCCAGCTGACTCTTAACATCTCGAAAAATCCTCACACGCAGTGTCTCCGAGGTCTCGAAGCTTTCGTCTGGATTTCGAATGAGTGATGGCCCAGCTGAAGAAGACCGATGAGATGGTCGGAATTTAGGGGCTTGAGATATCTCAACAGAGTGGGAACGACCACTTCGACGCCTGCGATTGAACATTAGGCTATCCGTTACATCCAAGAGTAAATACTTACCGAGATTGCCCCATCATGTGACATTGTCTTCAATCCAGTCGATCTGCCATACTCCGTACGAGAGACAGCGCAACAATTTAAGCTTGAAAGGGCTCGATGCTTTCATGGGACTGTGACTATCCCATTATTGAAAAGAAATGGTTGTTTCCCCCGCGGGCGCCGAAGGGAGGGGCGGTTACGGCAAAATTTCACAAAGTCAACATGAGAGTGAAGAGCAAGACAAAGACGACACTGGCAACACCCACGCGGTGACCGTACAAACAACTAAAGACATTTGTCTTGCGATCGACACTGCGGATTTATTCCGTACATAGCGCATGCACGCAGTAGCAGTCCTTGTAGATAGGTGTAGTTGTTTTCCATTCACCAGAAAAGAGACAAGGATGCTCTACAAACATAGGAAGTAGTCTGAGTGCTGGGTACAGAGTAATCGGTACGAGTTACTCACCTTTGGCCCTGTGCAGAAGCACTAGTCCTGTTGCGGAGCAAGTGTCTTTTCACAGTAAGGGTCCGAAGACAATCTCGGCTTGTGAAAAATTGCTTTTATAAGCTGCATAATGGATTCATCAATCACAAATCAGCACCAGATTTCCTAGGGGAGATGGCCGAGCTTGGTTATGGCGTCAGGTTAAGGCATTTGAGTCTTAGCACTTTAAGTATCTCGGCATCTGTTGAGATAGACGTTTCCTGATGGGAGTAATCCCGCGTGGGTTCGAATCCCACTCTCCTCAGGTGTGAAACCTTTTTTTGCTTTTTTGGGTCTGGTTGTCTACTGCCAAGCAGGGATTACTCAGAAAGTATGGAGTATTTATGCTGGCCCACGAATTTTTGAAGCCAGGTGTGCCAGGCTACATAGACATAGAGACACAACCCAGCGACAAAGCAAACGTCCACGCATGCCTTACAGCCATAATATCATGTACGGCTTATGTCTTGCACTAATTATTCCCGACCATAGCGCTATGTGCACGCTGGACACGCTGTAGAGTCTGGACATGTTCCTCATTCCGGTATTCTCAGCACCACTCTACCTTCAATCTCAAACCTCACCAGCTTCTCCATGACAGTGTTGATCTCTTCAAACTCATAGACCGCAATCTGCGGCACGACATCGCCCTTCACAGCCATCTGCAGGAGTTCTTGCATTTCCGCGTCCGATCCGACCGACGAACCCACAACCGTGAGACCTACAGATGTGTTAGAGAGAGTAAGTTGCAGTTGTGGAGGCAACGGAGGGGCTCCCGAGGGCGGGATAGGTAGGGCATGATAACTCACTTCTCACAACCATCCAGAACGGGGAAATAGGCAACGGGTTCCCCGAGCGCGGCAGCCCAACACACACCAACGTTCCACAGTTCCGGATCAGCTTGAACGCCTGCTCATACGCGGCGTCGATGCCGGCCGTGACGATCGTGGCGTGCGCGCCGAAGCCGTTGGTCAGGCGTTTCACCTCGTCCTCGACCTGCCTCGCGCGTCAGTGTGTCGAAAGACGCTTAACGGAGCAACGCAGGTGGTGGGTGTTCATTTCACTCACCGCGTCTTTCTTGAAGTCGAGGAAAGCAGTCGCCCCCAACTTCAGGCACAGGTCGCGCTTGGACTCCCCGCTGTCGATGGCGATGACTTTGTACCCGCGCTTGGCAGCGATCTGGACGCCTCTGTGCAGCATGGATCTCTGTTAAACACACACGCACACAGATAGACAGACAGATAGACAGACAGAGAGTTGACGTGATGCAACGGGAAAGGAAAGCACACTCACATGTGCCCGAGCCCGCCTCCCGCGCCAGGGATGACCAGCCAGTCGCCCGGCCGGAGCCTCGCTTTCGCAATCGCAGAGTAGAGGGTCAACCCGGCTGAGAAGGACACCACGTCAGATGAAAAGCCTCCGATGGGGATCTTTCCCTCGGTCCACACGACCGGTCGGCGCACTCACCACACAGCAGCGGTGCTGCGATCTCGGCCTTCAAATCCGTCGGGATCCTGGTGACGTGCTTGGCGGGGGAGACAATATATTCTGCACAATCGCCCCCAGTCAGTCTATGCGCCGGCCCCGGTTCTAGCACCCATGGGCGCTCGGCAGATTCGATCCTTACGCTGGAACGTCCCCCTTGTGTTCTGTCGGAACATAACGTGTCAGCATGGATGGCGATAGGGGGCATGGCATGGACGCCTCGCGGAGACGTCAGTCCTGCAGTAGTAGTGGTAATAGGACTTACCCGTCCGGAATTGACCTGGTTCGGACACGCCGTCGGATCGACGTGGCAGATCTCGCAGCTTCCACACGTGCTATACTGCCATCTATTGCGCGGATGGGAAACGTTCATCGTTAGCCCATGAAGTCTCGTGCTGCAGTCTTCTCGCACCGAGTGGTAATGATATAATATGCGGCAAGCAACACACCGGCGGAACCAAGCTAATAATTACTCGGTACTAACCTGATACCCACTTTCGCGTTCATCAACTCCTCAGGCACATGCGGACCGACTGTCGATGCATTATGTCAACATCAGTCTCTCCATGGGGAAAACAATAGGCTCCCAAGACTGCTGATAATAATAATTTAGCAGGGTGACCGGCGACGTACGCTTAACCACGTGTCCCACGCCCTCATGGCCAGCGATGTCGGTACTCATGGGCGTGTCGCCGTACGCGCTATGCACGTCCGAGTGGCTGTGGCGGGCTCGGCGCGTCAGTATCTAATCATGTACTCCTGAAGACGCTGGGAGCTTTGCTGCGGAAGCGGAAACTGGGACAGCTAGCTAGTCAACTGCACTCACCAGAACCCCGTATACTCCAATTTGATGAGCACATCGCCATCGCCTGGCGTGGGCACCTCGATATCGTTTCTGATCTGGAAGCGCGCACCCGGCTGCGGCTTCTCGAGCCATGCAGCGGTCTGCGTGGTAGGGATCGAAGACGCCATGTGGACAACGAGCGGTATGATAGAGATAGGCAATATTGCAGTCACCACCTCACAAGTACCTGAACCACGGGATATACTGTAACTGATGTAGTGTGTCCCGGGACGGTGTGGTGTTCGGTGTAGCGTAACGTATATTGCACAGCGCACTGAGGAGGTATACCGTGTGCCGGGGACCGCGTACCGTTCAAGCCGAGCGACAGTACGAAGAACGGGCTCGCCCAACACCCACACAGAGCCGAGTGCGCACCGGGATAAGATATACCAAGGACGAGTACTCGGAACCCCGTACACAGATCAACAAAGCGCGGGCAAGGGGGACGGGGGAACCAGGCTGGCTCGCCGCTTACAGTCCTAATTCCTGTTGGACGAAACAAGGCACCCCGGTGACGAATCGGTGCCGCGGGGGCCCCAGCGAGCAATTGCCAAGAGAGTTGAACGTGCGAGCGAATTGCACGCCTTCCCACAGATACGAGTAGCCAGCACCCTTCCGGTTGGGGGGAATGCTCCGTACGGACTGTAGAGGACGCAATGGGGGGATGGGGGAAGGGGAGGCCGCTCGCTCGCTGAGGCAGTCCGACAGTTACCCGACTGATCCGCTTGGCCACACCACCCCTTCTCCCCTTTTCCGACCTTTTATCTCCACGACAAAAGTCCAAAGACGGAGATAGTAGCTGCATGCGTACGTCCCTTGGAATAGCACTGAGAAAGCATGGACGTGTCGAACGATGGAAATCAACATGCTGAGCATGTGTTTCCTGGGGGGGCTGCTATGATACATTCTCCCGATTCGGTGCTGATCTGGTCTCACTTCCTCCACAACCCCCATTACTCCCCTACTGCTGACAAAGGCCCATCCAAAAGCCGGGGAGGCTGCATCTTCAGCCTTGTGGGCTTCGGGATTTATACACGTCTTTCCGGCTTACTGTGTGCTCTGCGTACGTGAGGAAGCTCGCGGAAAGCCGTTTCTTCCCGGGATGTACAGCGTTCATGCCTCCATCACGTACGGACTGTTCCGAATTCAGAAAGTATCTCCATGATGCATGGGCCCGGTCGTGGGGAACCTCCGCGCAGTCCATTCCCTCATCCGCTTGCCCCTGAAGTAGACCACGGCCATCAGCAAATGTGCGACCAGCAGGATCACGGCCATGACCACAAAGGGCACCGTATACCCTGCATTTGTGTTCCATGGGACAATGGCATAGCTGATCCCGAACGCTGCCAGGTTCTTCATGCCGTTGTCAATAACCATAACTGTATCCATCTTCGCTTCGTACACGTCGAGAAGGTATGCGAAGGAGATGCTCAGGGATGAGATGAAGCAGAAGCTCACTAGAAAGGAGTAGACTACATCAGAATACGTCCATTTGAAGCTTGAGCAGAGAAGGCGAAAGCACGTACCAAAGCAGGAACCAAACAGTGGCGCCACCCAATGACATTTCTCCTGCGTGCAGATACCGAACAGGAGGGATCCAGCTATACCGACCACGCCGGTGACGATAAGAAGGGGTAGACGGCGTTCCGGCTGTGGCTTATGTCCCTCCTTTCTGGCTAGACGGAGGAAGAGACGGTCGGCAAGCACGCCGCAGAACAACATTGCTCCCCACGTCCCTATCAGGGGTGCGATGAAGGTAAGTCCGGAGTTTCCGATCGAGAACGGATACACAGTCAGGTAGGTGATTGACTGGGTGGTCTTCCAGCTCAGTTAGACGCGATACTAGACCAAGAGCAAGGACGACTTACCAAGGTGTAGGTAGTGACCAGCAAGGTGAGAGAGAAGAATGTAGTGTTCAGGATGACGATCGGATGGCCGAAGTATGGTAGGATGGTCAAGAGCCCGCGAGCAACACTGAGACTGCATCAGCCGATAGACGTCATTGTTGGTTGAGCGTATTGTCATCATACCTGCGTTCTTTCGGTGTTCCTCCACCGCTGACCGGCCAGAACCGGAGGTCGTGCTTCCATGACCTTGGTGGAGTATCTGCTGGCGTGTCTCCCGTATACTGCGTCTCCGGGACGAGCAGTAGCATGATAACCGCAGTGCCAAAGGTGATGATGGCCAGTATCCATTCCACCCAGCGCCAACCAAGGGTTCTTATGAGACGGATCAGCAAAACATACCGGCCATCAATGGGATGGAGCTTACCGGTCTTGGATGATAAAAGCCCCAACAAGCGGTCCTCCAGAGAATCCACTGGCCTGCAGGATCCCAACCCATGTCATGGCTTTGGCCCGGTCCTTCAGATGGAACACGTCGCCAACCAGCTGAGGTGCCAGCGTCTCCGGGGGGGCGTAGAAGAAGGAAGCGAGTGTCCTGGCGGCGACGAGGCTGCCAAACGAGGTCGCTTTTGCGGCCCAGCAGTCCATGCATGCAGCGGCGAGAGCGGCAAGCACGAAGATCAGTCTGACCCCATACCTGTTCGCTACCGGCACCCACAGGAAGGAAGAGATACCGTAGGCCAGGAGAGGGCCCCCAACCATGTAGGTAGAGCTGTCAAACGATGAATGAAACTCGAGAGGGATGGTCTGAATTGCAGGGGCGATGATGATGATGTTCGACGTGCCCAGCAAGATCCAGATGCCGATCACGAGGAGGAGGATGAGCTTTCGCGCGACACTCCAAGTGAGAGGATCGTGAGGGTCGACAGGAGCGACGTCCTGGTTCAAGTCCTGGCCCTTCTGCTCCACCTCTTCAATGTTGTTCTCGAGGTGCATTTTCATCGACTCGGCCGCGGTGAGCATCTTTGGGACAGGGATGGGGAGTATGCGACATGAAGTTGGACCACCATGCCCATCGGCGCCGCATCGCGT